CGATATTTTCGCCTTCGAAGTGATGAAAGAACACCACCTACCGGACTTACTGGAGGCCGGGTGTTCTCCGAATGTTTGACAGCGAACAAAAACGGGCCGCAACTCACCAATTGATGGATTTGGAGAATGGGATTCAAATCGTAATAATCCTCTGTAGATCGATCGATGAAATCGAGGACCTGAGTAGCATTCCGTTTCAACAATTCGCCGACAGGCGAACGGAAGGTCCCGTAAATGAACCGGACACTCACAAGACCACACACATATATATAATTGCACATACACACAATACCTAATCGATCCATGATACCAATGGACGAGCTAATCCAGCAAAGGGTCAAAGTTGCGTGACTATGTCAATAACGAGTTCCCCTATGCTGACAACACTTTTCATGAATGCCGTTAAAGATTGATGGGCCCATATGCGACTAATATAGTGCCGATTCTTGGGTTAGTCTACCGAATAAGCTGAACAGACAAAATATTACATGTTACAAGACTAAAGACAAGGAACCAACGACTATGTCCATACCTACGTCTATGCTCCATTGACGGCTTTCGTCATACTTCCTCATGTTCCAGACGTGTGGTCCCCCGAAACCGATTGGGGAGTTACCGGTATGGACCCTCGCAGCGGTCTGCCTACAACAGTGCAGTGGACGGTAACTTGACCATAGACACTCTTTTCCATCAATAAACAAAGTCATAACACGGCTGCATTTCGCCCATTCATATCCTACACTGCACTAGGACTCAGACCCCTAGGAGAGGGTTATCTAAACTCGACGTCTGTGAATACAATGTCATGTTATATAAATGAAAGAAAAGTAACTTGAAATCACGGGTGTCTCGTTTGTTCTCCTCCGGGTTAGAAGCGGGACACACGACCTCTTGTCCCGAAGACAGAGCAGTTGCTACCCCCGTGACACTTCGACCTGTCCTCTTGTACGGGATGATGGTAGTCATGTCCGAGTCGAGGTGCAGCAACTGCAACTTGATGACGCTGAAACAACAGACCTGATTTTTACCTGGAGAAACCATCTCTCTTAACACGCACTACACCTGGACACCCTGTTGTAGGTAAGGGTCTCACTACTCAAAGACAGTTGTTTTTCCTGATTTACACAAGAGGGACTTCACAACCCTGTCGTTGAATGTTCCCCTTTCCATTTTCAGTATCTCAACCACACACGAGTAAAAAAAGGTGTTCTTGTACTATCACGTATTGATAGTCCACTGATTTTCGGAGGAGAGGGACAGCAGACAAGGTAAAGAGGCAAAGTCACGTTCTACCTAGTCCTCCCTCTCTTCAGCACTAATGGTCGTGGACAGGACCAAGGGCTTTCAACACCAAGAGAGGAACAACGTAAGGAATAAACGTGTCACCGTCGAGAAATTGGACGTAATGTCGTTGGAAGTATAAGTGCACTGGTGTGAGATGATCTCCTTCATCTCGACACACTATATAACGCATAACATTTTTCTACAAATGACTTTTCTAATTTACTATGATTCTTCTGACGTTATCTATGTACCAAAGAATAAATGTAAATGTTATTGGGAGTCACCCGGTATGTACCCTCGCAGTGGTCTGTTAAACAGTAGAGAATCTTATAGCAACTTACTTAATCTCGGACTTACATCTACTTTCAACATATAACTCATCCGACGATGTGTGTAAATGTTGTGTGTTTTTCTACAAATACTTTTCTAAATTTACGATGACTTTATTATGTACCACAGAATAAATGGTTCTGATGGTCGAGGTACGAAATGAGGTTACCGCTGCTGTCGTGACTTGTCTAATCTTCTAGCCGTGTAGTAGGAGGTATGAAGGACGAGGTAGCTGGTGATATCCATCGCCTCGACAGCGGGCAAATCTGATAAATCACGAGAAAAGTCGCTCTTTTTCAGCTGATACGGATCGTATCCGATGTGTGCTGTGATTTTTTCACGATATCTGCGGCGTGCAGGTTCATTTAATTGTTTGACATAGTCGGTGTCCTCCATGATTCCTGCGTTGATGAATGATTGCGTTTTCACTTCCTGACCTCCACTTGAATTTCGCGCGTCGTAGAAGTCACGTGACTGAAACCAAGCTATACTGTGGACAATCCCCACAGGAGCAATTTGGGGTGAAGTGTCTTGCCCAGGGACACAATGACACGCTGACTGCAGTGGGGTTTGAACCTGTGACCCCCTGATCCGAACACCAACGCACAACCCACTGCACCACACGGTCATCATCATCATCATCGTCGTCGTCATCATCATCGTCATCATCATTCAGTTATTTTGGTTGTATTAGATAATCTTATTTCTTGTACTGTAGCAGTATCAATACCAGACTGCTTTTACAAGAGAGCTGACTTGAAGAACCTTTACAAAGCGTTAATTGCTTTAATGCAGTCATAAAACGTTTTAAATGACAAGCATTCAGAGAGGGAGGCAGAAAGGCTGCAGGAGGCCAGACAAGGAGCCAAAGATAAAGACACAGACTGCGGGATTGTGTCAGAAAAAGTCTGCATTAAAGTGATGTACTTGATGATGCTAAATGGAGTTGGAAGACTGTCAGTCTCCAGCCATGCTGCTTGATGGAAATGACACTTGGGCTTTTATTGTAGTCCTAAAAAAGAAGTTCTGTCCCGTAAATCATCCTTTCCTGGAAGCTGTTTTAAAACTTTGGGGATATCTTTCTGACTTCTGCTGTGGATTTATGTCTTTTGAGGGATTAAATGTGTCTTCAGGTGAGTGTGAGGACACACACAGGTACATGTGCGTGTCCTTCCCGATGATTAATGTTGTCAAAGGGTCTGAAGAGAGATTTCCTGTGTGTCTGTCTGCAGTCTCAAAGGGTGTATGCATTCATGTGCCACACTTCCTATCAAAGATTTTCTTCAGTGCCTTTTCAAAAATGTAATTCTGATTTGTGTTGTGCTTATATTTACTTTCAAGCCTTCACAGTTTTTCTTTCTTGTGACTTTGTCTCTTTGTTCTAACCTTCTTTAGGTTTCTTTTTCAAGGAGAGATTTCTTTATGTTCCTCGGAAGTCTTCAAATCCACTTTGACCTTCCTTTGAAGTAGAACTCAAGCAAAAAAGTGAATAAGGTTCTCAAAAGCATCACCTGGAGGGTTTTAGTTAGTTTTTAATGTTGTTTTTTTTAAATCTAAGACTCTATTCATTTTGTATTTAGTCAGGTCTTTCATTTTCATCAACTTTGATTTTACTTTAACCTGAAATTAACTGCAAGATTGTACTTGTATTGAATTGTTGAGATATAACTCTCAGCTTGGGAAACATTGCTTTGACCTGTTATATATTGACATGTATACTACCAGAAGCTCCGAATGGAAGCTGGCTCAAGATAGAAGTGTTCATGTTTTTACATTTCCTGAAGGCCACTGCGGCTTTCTAAAACTCTTGTGAAATTCTGATAATGAAAATATGTACAGTACAAATGACATTACATTACATTACATGTCATTTGTTAGACTGTTTTATCCAAAGGGACTTACATATATTCAGTACTGTGGACAATCCCCACAGGAACAATTTGGGGTGAAGTGTCTTGCCCAGGGACACAACGACATGCTGACTGCAGAGGGACTCGAACTTGCTATCCCCTGATTTCAAAGTCCAGCACACAAAAATATATATATATATTCTCTGACACAGTGGATGTAGAAAGTGGGTACAAACCTGCCATCGGCCATATATTTTCAATAGCACTCATCTGTGTGTAACCGTTTTGCAAGGACACACTTGCTGCAATATTGGCTGATTGCTGACAAAGACAATTGTGATATGAGACGAGTAGAGCTGTTGTATTTTGTAAAGAGGCTTGTGAATGTGTAGGTCGTGCTATATGAAACCATGCGTTAAGCAGTTCAAATAACAGCAAATCCCTTCAGAATACATTTCTTAAAGGGGCCCTATTATGCTAATTGTCCGTTGTCTAATGGAAGCGTTTCAAGCAGGGGGGGGGGAGTGTATGGGAGATACATTCTCTACGGAGGGAACCTTTTAGCCTTTGCAGACTATTTACATTTACAAAAAACACAATAAGGGGAAAAAAACCCAAAACATAATAGGGAGAAAGAATAATTATCATCATTCTCTGTTTGTATTTGCTCTTCTGTATGTGTGTACGCTTTACTCATCTGTGCTGTCCAGCGCACGTGTGTGTGTGTGTGTGTGTATTTGTGTATGTGTGCAATCTGGCACAGTACTACTGTTAGCACAGCTGTCCAATCCAAAGAGACACAGGAGGCGGGACACAGGTGTCACATCCACAACAA